TAGAAGTTTCGCACATACATTTTTTCATACAAAATTGAGTGTTTAGAAACCTCAGCAAAAAATTGTTGTATGTGAGAGATCAGCGAACACGTACGACAAAATTTGAATCTTTTACAGTAAAAATATGTCGTATGTATAATTGAAAAAGCATTCAGCGTAATAATTTCAGTGTCATTCGCGATGTCGAAGCGCGTGGACGAGTCCCCGGCACCTGATGTCCCGCTAGAAATATACGAGTGAGTATTTAATTTGAAATTAAATGTGCCAACTAACAAATTTTAATATATTAGCATGCACGACGAAATTCTTGGATCTTGCAGCAGAACTGATTTCTCTTCAGATGATCTAGAAAAGGATCCGACTTATTGTAGCGTATTTAATTATAGAATTGTATTTTTTAAAAAATTTTATTTTTATATAAACTTAATTTTAATTTAACGTATTTTAAATTTCAAAGAAGAAAAAATTCTGAAGTAATCAAAAATTTTCTTTTTGATTTACATACATAAATTGAAAAAGAACTTGATTCAATAATTTCAAAAATAACAAAGTACAAAAATGAACAAAGTACAATAGTAAATAGTATTAACACTACAATACTTGTAGCGTATTTAAAAATTTTATTATTATATAAACTTAATTTTAATTTAACGTATTTTTTTTATTTCAAAGAAGAAAAAATTCTGAAGTAATCAAAAATTTTCTTTTTGATTTACATAAATTGAAAAAGAACTTAATTCAATACTTTCAAAAATAACAAAGTACAAAAATGAACAAAGTACAATAGTAAATAGTATTAACACTACAATACTCCCCCTTCCAGAGAGTTATTATTATACAAATTGAAAGTAACTTGTTTCTTTTTAGTCGTTGTTGAAACTATATGGTTGTTAGTGTTATGTGGTTCTGTTATTTCAACTATTGCTGGCTTTAGTCTGTCAATCGAAATAATTTTAATTTCATTATTCACATCTACCTTAAAATATTTTTTGTCTTTTTCAATAACTCTGTTAGGCCCTTCATAAGGATGTTGAAGAGAATGCTTGTTAACAATGCGAATAAAAACAAATTTGCAAGTTTGTATACCATAGATATATTTCAAAATTAGCTGAGTTTACTGGAGTTATATATGATTTAATTAATAAAACAAGTAAAAAGCGAGACAAAATTTTGGTTTGGGATGACAAATCCATTAAAGCTTTTGAATGCATTAAAGAGAAGTTTGCATCTAAGATTTTGCTAAATCATTTTAGTAAAGATGCAAAATTGTCTTTAACAGTAGATGCATCCAATACAGCAATTGGTGGTGTCATACAGCAGTACTTCAATAATAAGTCTGAACCACTTGCGTTCTTTTCAAAGAAACTGTCTCCAGCAGAAATGAAATATAGTGCTTTTGACAGGCAACTTTTAGCAATTTATTTGAATATTAAACATTTTCGGTATTTATTAGAAGGAAGACAGTTTACGGTTTTTACTGACCACAAACCCTTGATTTTTGTTCTAGATTCCAAAACTGAGCGTAGTCCAAGACAGACAAGGCATAGTTGACTAGTGAAGTATATTAAAGGACAGACCAACATTGTAGCTGACACGTTATCTCGTGCGTTTGAAATAGATGTGATTAAAAATTCAGAACTTAATTTCAAAATTTTACAGAGTGAACAGCAACAGGACAGTGAACTTAATAAACTTATTTCTGGACAAACGTTTCAAAATCTTAATTTAATTAAAATTCCTATTCTAAATTTTAATATTTGGTGTGAAGTGTCAGGAGAAAGTCCTAGACCTTTCGTTCCAAATAATTTGCGCAGGACAGTGTTCGATATGTTACATGGAATTGCTCATCCTGGTACCAAGGCTACACGCCAATTAATTGTGAAGAAGTATTATTGGCCTTGTATGAACAAAGATTTAAACATATGGTCAAAAGGATGTATAAGTTGCCAGAAATCTAAAGTTTATCGTCACACCAAATCTCCTGTGAGCACAATTCCAATTCCGAAGAGCAGATTTGAACATATACATTTAGATATTGTTGGACCGCTTCCTGTTTCAAGAGGTTACCGCTACATTTTAACAATTATGGATAGATTTACTCGTTGGACGGAAGCATATGCTGTAAAGGATATCTGCACAGACAGTTGCAAATAAATTTTTTAATGAATATGTTTCGCGTTTCGGTGTGCCTTTAGAAATCACGACGGATCAGGGTACTCAATTTACGTCCAAATTATTTTCGGAACTTACTAAATTACTTGGTAGTCATCATATCACAACTTCTTCCTATCACCCTCAAAGTAATGGTATTGCGGAACGATTCCATAGACAATTGAAAACTTCAATTTTGGCTAGGAATGGAACTAGAGATTGGTACGATGAGCTACCGATTATTCTTCTTGGTTTGCGTTCAGTGTACAAAGAAGATATTGCAGCCACTCCAGCTGAAATGCTTTTTGGCCAAAATTTGCGTCTACCTGGAGAACTTGTTGTGCCAACTACAGAAAATGTTACTTCCGCCGAAATTTTAGGAAGTTTACGGGAACGTTTTAAAAACTTTAATTCAAATTTAAAACATCACAAAAATTCCGAGTCAGGAATTTATGTTCCAAAAGATT